GTGATCCTTTTTCATCCTGAAATCCAAGCCTAGGCAGACAGAGGACACTTCTAATTCATTTTTTATTCACTTTATTAATTCCTAAGACACTGTTTGGTACATTGGTGTTGAGCACACTGCGTTTGTTTAGGGAGCTGCCTTCACCCCATCTTGCACTGGGCAGAGCACTGCATCTGCAGAGGGCACATTTGGGTGCCCAAATTCCTCCCCACATCACCTCCCCTCAGCAGCTCTTCCCTGGAGAAAGGAGTTCACTGAAGCTGTTCTCCTCTCAGAGAAGGGACTCAGTGCAGGGATCACGGGTTTCACTCCTTTTGCCATGTCTCCTGCAGGTCTGACAGCTCCTTCAGCTTCTTCGTCTTCTTTTTCATCTTCTTCTGCCAAATAGCAATCTACATCATCCAGGCTGTTGGAATTCCTGGCTGGGGAGACAGGTAAGCTTGGCTTCGCTGCCTGCCGTGTCACACATTCCTTTTCTCACCAGGGCTGTGACTGGCAGGAGCTTTGGGGCCTGCTTCTGACAGCTGCCTGTTCTTTCTGCTGTGGTTTGCCTCTCTCAGCTCATGCACAGCCTTGGCAGGTCCCAGCTGCCTCCCTCTTCTGCTCTTCCCATCCTAATCCCAGTATGTGAAGGAGTATGAGAAGGGAAGTATGTGAATTACTGGATATTGGGCAGGAATCCTTCCCTCACAGGGTGCCCAGAGCAGCTGTGGCTGCTCCTGGATCCCTGGCAGTGCCCAAGGCCAGGCTGGACAGGGCTTGGAGCAGCCTGGGATAGTGGGAGTTGTCCCTGCCCATGGCAGGGGAGTGGAATGTGATGAGTTTTGAGGTCCCTTCCAACCCAAACTGTTCTGTGATTCTGTGAGAACTCTTCTGTGCCTCTTCTGCTGCCTTCTCCCTCACTCAGTACAGACCATATTTGCTCCTCTGGTGTGAACCAGATCTGCCTTGTTCAAACCGGAGCCTTCCCTGACAGCTGTGTGGGGCTGAGGGATCTCTGACCTGAAATCTGGGTACTGCTCAGCCTGATACTGCTGCTGCCACCCCAGCTCTGTCCCCAAACTCTTCCTGAATGTTTCTGGAGCGTGGTTGGTGGGCTGAGATAAGCAGGGAGGCTTTTAGCCTCGCCCTTTCTCGGTGACATTGTCCAGAAGGGTGAGCTTGGGCTTCTGGAGCGGGTCCAGCAGCCTCGTGTCAGCAGCTGTGCCCTGCAGGGAGAGCACAGCCTTTCCTTTCGCCCTGCTGCCTCGGCTGCAGCTCCCGTTCTGGAGCCAGGGAGAGCAGGGGAAGGTTAGCAGTGCCTGTCCCGAGGGGAGCCTGCAGGCGGGAGCCGCTCTCTATTTCTGCCCTCTGCCTGCAGAGGGGCCCGTGGGCAGCGCTGTCCCCGGCTCCCCCCCTGCCCGAATCACGGGGGATGGGGAGAGGCTTTAGTCTGGCCTGGAGAGGCTGCCTGCAGCTTTGTGCTCCGTTTCCTGCCGCCAGACAGCGCGGGTATTTTTGGCTGTGGTGCGTGGTGTGCCTTTCTGCTTCCCTGTGCCGCGAGGACGGTGCCACACATGGGATGGGACCCATCCTTCCTGCTGGCACACGGCGTGCTTGGTGGAGCACTTGGAAAGGTTCCTCTCTCCAGCACCCAGGAAGGTGTTCTGAGTGAGGTGCCTTGGTATTTTCAGCCACAGCCAAGTGCTGGTAACTCTGTGAATTCTCCCTGCCCCTTCCCTTCAACAGCTCCCAGTGTCTGCGACTTAGAATGGTTGAATCACAGAATGCTTTGGGTTGGAAGGGACCTTAAGGTTCATCTCATCCATGGGCAGGGACACCTTCCACTATCTCAGGTAGCTCCAATCCCCGTCCAGCCTGGCCTGGGACCCTTCCAGGGATGGAGCAGCCACTGCTGCTCTGGGCAGCCTGTGCCAGGGTTTCACCACCTCCATCCCTTCCTGCCTCTTCCTCCCGCTCCCGACCCTTACGTCCCTGTCAGGGTGACACTCAGGTCCAGGCTCCAGACCTGCCAGCTGATCTCTTCCAATTCAGCTGTTCCAGCCTATCTTCACCCCACTAGGCTGAATTTTGAGAAGGTGCCCGTGGAAGTCACTGTTGGCACCAAGGGTATTGATTTTGCTGCCTGAGGGGAGGGCACAGGGCTGGAATGTGGGTGGGATGAGCACAATCCTCCTCTAAAAATGCTAATGGAAACTCTATCCCCAAACCAAGGGCCTGGATGAACTCCAGGCTCCCGTTTCCACAGCTGCTTGGTTTTGTGCTGCCCTGTAACCTTCCCTGAAGCACATGTGTGCTCCCTCCTGTGCTCCAGCTGTGCTGGAATGCTGTCCATGCTCAGCCCCTCTCCTCTCCTGTCCCTGGCAGTGGCTGGATCGCGGCGCTGTCGGAGGTGCACGGGAACGTGGCCGTGGTGGTGATCATGATGGTGGTGGCAGCGTTCTTCACGCTCTGCGCTGTCCTCTCCCTCTTCCTCCTCAAGCAGGTGAGTGGCTCGGGGGCCAGCAGAGCTCAGGCTACCCCCAGGGGTCCTGGGTTTGGTGCCTCCCTTCACCCACCTGGGAATGATGATGGGATGGGGGCACTGGTGGGTCAAGAGGTTTTAATTAAAGTATTTTTGCTTGTGCTTCCTGCAGTGATGCCAAATTTCTTGGACACTCTTGAAGTGGGAAGTAGGCTCCCTTTGGAGTCATAGAATCATGAAATAATTTGGGAAGGGACCTTAGAGCTCATTTTACCTCCTGCCAAGGGCAGGGGCACTTTCCCTTATCCCAGAATGCTCCAAGCACTGTCCAACCTGGCCTGGAACATTTCCAGGGATCCTGGGGCAGCCACAGCTTCTCTGAGCACCCTGTGCCAGGGCCTGCCCACCCTCCCAGAGGATTTTTTTCCTGATACCCCATCTAACCCTGCCCTCTGGCAGTTTAAAGCCATTGCCCCTTGTCCTGCCCAGAGCTGACAGAGCAGGGGTGGCCATGGCTCTGTTCAGCATCCAGGGATTTGCAGTCACTGCTCCCACAGCGTTTGGGGCTTTTCAGAGCCTGGTGGGGTCCCAGCAGGCGCCTTCCCACTGGTTCTTAAAGCCAACCCTCCTCCCTCCTCCTGCCTGCCAACAGCAGGGCTGGATTTCTGCAGGAACATCAGAAGGAGCTTGGGGGAAGGCAAGGACAGGCTGGACTGGTCCTCTTTCTATTGGTACTTCCTTCTGCTCTCCTGCCTTTATCTTGAAGGAAATTCCTGATGCTGTCGGCACCTTCAGGTCCTGCCCTCCAGTAGGTACTGGGTTAAGCCTGAGCCATCACAGTGTGGGGAATTTTGGGTCTGAAACCAACAATTTTGGTGAGAGCTCCACATTTTTCAGCAAATGAAGCTGTCCTGAAATCTGCCATGGAGCCACTGGCTGCAGCCCATGCTCTGCAGCTGTGGAGGGAGCTGCTTAGCCGAGGACAAGCCGGGTGTGTGCAGCAATGCCACAGGCTGATTTCATTCCCTCTTTGCCTCCCCTCTGTCCCCAGGTGCATTCCCTGTATCGGCGCACAGGAGCCAGCTTCCAAAGGGCCCAGGAGGAGTTTTCCCAAGGCATCCTCACCAACAGGAGCTTCCAGAACGCAGCGGCTGGGGCAGCCTCCTCGGCTGCACACAGTGCTTTCCGGGGCAACTAGCCCTGCCCAGGAAATCCAGCCCTTCTTCCTGGGCTGCCTCCCTCTCGCTTCCTCTGCCCTCATCTCCCCAACCTTCTTTTTTGGTTTTTTTTTCTGAAAATGCACTTTTTTTGGGGGTACCATGTGAGCTCTGTGATGCCGACACTCCTGATGAGAAGAGGTTTTTTTTGGCTTCAGCTGAGCTACGGTTTGGATGATTCGTTTTCCCTGTCTTGTTTTAGGGTGTGGGGAGATGGGGGAAGACGTTCTCTGAGGCAAATATTCCTCTTTCCAGGACCTTCCAGGTGTTTGTCTCTTCCTCCCCTCACTCTGTCTGTAGCAGGAAGATGAGGGGAAGCAGGTTTTTGATTTTACTCTCTTCTCTTGGCCTTTGCTATGAAGAATTTGATTATCTGCTGTTTTGGGAGGGTTTTGTAACGTGCATGTAGTTGATGTCGTTAATTTTAAGAACAGAAACTGTACTTTCGGTTTATTACACTCACACGATGCTGTATTTTGACCTCATAACTGCTGGGCTTCCTGAGAGCCACGAAGGAGAATCTGGGAGCAGGGGGAAGTGTGGGGGGAATGTATTTCCCCATGTCCCTCCAGGACACATCCCTCGCTTCCACGAGGATCCTGCAGGCGCCAGCCCCGGGCACGGAGAGGGGGAGAAGGGATCAGTGGGGACTGAGTCTTCTCAGTGGCTTGAGACCAGGAGAGGGACGGGAAAAGGGATTTTGGTTTGGCTCCCAGCTGCAGCTTGGGGCAGCTGAGGATGCCGGGTCACACAGTGCCTGTGACGCCCTTCTCCAGCTAACCTTGAATGAATCTTTCTCCAGGGAAGGCTCCTCCCTGCCTTCCTCCTCACTAGTTGAGTTTTTTTTAGCTGGGAAGGAACTGTTTCCATGTGTGTACAGCTGCATCCCAAGATGGGACGTCCCTTGGGACGCGGGTGAGGCGCAGGGGTGGATGGGGGCAGGTTCCCACCTCTCCCTCCCTCAGCCCCGTGCTTTGGGTGCCGGGGGGTTTCGTGCACGTTTGGCTTTGTGGTGCCCCTTTGCCGGGGTGGGGTTGTGTCAGACCCCCCTCCTGTGCCGGTGAGGGGCGGCGGGGGGCGCTGGGATACAGAAATCGGTATTTTTACATCATTTTCCTCCTGTATTATTGGAATTTTTTTTCCCCCGCGTCTGATCTTTTAATGTTTAAAAAATTATTAATAAAAAATTGTTCATGTGGTCCAGATACGGTGCGCGTGCCGGCGGAGGGGGCGTGGCCATCATGGGGGCGTGGCCAAGGCGGGACATGATGCGATGATTGACGGTTTGGGGGCGTGGTCAATGTGGAGGGGTGGGACAGGGGGCGTGGCTTGCTTCGAGATGAAACCTGTGTGGGCGTGGTGATGTCTGCCGGGGGCGTGGTCAGTGGGCTGTGTGGGCGTGGCCGGGGCCGTGGCGCGCCGGGAAGGCGGAAGCGGCTCCCGGGCCCCGAGCGCCGGGACCGGGGGTCCGGAGCGGCCATGGCCGGGGCCGGCTGGGCCCCGCCGCGCCTCGACGAGTTCATCCTCACCGAGCCCCTCGGCTCGGGCACCTACGCCACCGTCTACAAGGCCTACAGGAAGGTAGGGCCGAGCCCGCCGCGGGGGTCGTCTTTTTGCTCCCCAGTTTGCCCCCCCACTCCCGTGGGACCCCCGTTTTCCAGTCCTCCGCATGGGGTACCACCCCCGTTTTCCAGTCCTCCGCATGGGGTACCACCCCCGTTTTCCAGTCCTCCGCATGGGGTACCACCCCCTAGCCCTCGCCTGGCACCTGCCGCCCCCTTGCAGGGGTTCCTTCCCTCCCCACCCGCGGTGGCTGTTTGGGTGGGGGCTCCAGCGTTGTCCCCCCTCCTCGGCAGAGGGACACGCGTGAGGTGGTGGCCATCAAGTGTGTCAACAAGAGGAGCCTGAACCGGGCATCGGTGGAGAACCTGCTGACAGAGATTGAGATCCTCAAGACCATCCGCCATCCCAACATTGTGGAGCTCAAGGACTTCCAGGTGGGCTGGGGGCTTCCCGGGGGGCCTCTGAGCCAGAACAGCTCTGGCTTGGATCCATCCCTGCTTCCCACGGGTGTATCCCTGGGGCTTGGTGCCAGCAACTGGGCAAACTGGTCCAGGTGAACCTGTGTGGGTGGGAGTGGCTGGCGTGGCACAGCAGGGTCTTGTTGCCTCGCAGTGGGACAGTGACCACATCTACCTGATCATGGAGTTCTGCGCCGGGGGGGACCTTTCCCGCTTCATCCGGACGCGCCGGATGCTCCCCGAGAAGGTGGCACGCGTCTTCCTGCAGCAGCTCGGTGAGGACACCCCGCCTGGCTCCCACCCTGGCTCTGGTGGGGACCCTTCCCCAGGGTTTTGGGGTGCAGGGCTGTGCTATCACGTGCCCATCCACCCGCCCAGCCTGCGCCCTGAAATTCCTCCACGACCGCAACATCTCCCACCTGGACCTGAAGCCGCAGAACATCCTCCTGAGCACCCCGGAGAACCCCCAGCTGAAGCTGGCAGGTCAGGGCAGCCCCTGGCAGGGGCTGGCAGGGAGAAAATCCCTTCTCCCTGTGCCCCCACGAGCTCTCTGTCCGGCAGATTTCGGCTTTGCTCAGTACATGTCCCCGTGGGACGAGAAGCACGTGCTGCGCGGCTCCCCGCTCTACATGGCCCCCGAGATGGTGTGTCGGCAGCACTACGACGCCCGCGCGGACCTCTGGTCGGTGGGGGTCATCCTTTATGGTGGGTTTGGCTTTTATTGCCCCGGGGGGCTCTACTCAGGGCTGGTTTCCCCCTCTCCATCTCCCCCCACCGCTCCTTTCCCCCCTGCAGAAGCGCTTTTTGGGAAGCCGCCCTTCGCTTCCCGCTCCTTCGCCGAGCTGGAGGAGAAGATCCGCAGCGACCGGGCTGTGGAGGTAACGTGGGGTGGGATGGAGCTCTGGGGGGGCTCTCACAGCCCTCAGTGGGCTCAGCCTCTTCCCTCCCCAGCTTCCCAGCCGGCCCCAGCTCTCTCAGGAATGCCGGGATCTCTTGGGACAGCTGCTGGAGAGGGATCCTCAGAAGCGCATCTCCTTCGAGTGCTTCTTTGGGCACCCCTTCGTGGACATGGAGCACGTCCCTGGCCCCGAGAGCCTGGGCAAGGCGGTGAGCGGGGCTGGGGGCTGCTGCCTGCCGACGGGCACGTTCCAAGCCCTGAGACCCCCCCCTGTGTCCCCCAGACCGACCTGGTGGTGGAGGCGGTGAGGAAGGATCAGGAGGGAGATGCCGGTGCCGCCTTCTCCCTCTACCGCAAAGCCCTGGAGTATTTTGTGCCAGCACTGCACTGTGAGTCCCCCGGGGGTTGTGGGGGGCCTGGGTGTATTTCTGGGGGGGCAGCACCCCGGGGGAGGTCGGTTTTTAGCCCACCCACCCTGTGTTTGGTTGTTCTCCCCCTTAGACGAGAGCGACGTGCGGCGCAAAGAAGCCATCCGGGCCAAGGTGAGCCAAAACCCCTGGGCGGCGGTGGGGCAGCACCCCCATGCTCTGCACCCCCTGTCGGGGGTCTCCTCACCCCCAAAATGTGCACAGGTGAGGCAGTACATCTCCCGAGCAGAGGAGCTGAAGGTGCTGGTCACCTCCAGCAACAAGAACCTCCTGGAGAAAGGAAACCCAGCCAGAGAGCTCCTTAAAGGTAGTGAGCAATTTTTGCCCATCCCCGGTGTCAGAACTGGCAGAGGGGCCATGGTGGGGTTTTGGGCTGAAGGGTGAAGGTTTTGGGCAATCCCCATAGCCGTGTCCCCTTGCAGAGATGGCCAAGGACAAACCTCGGCTCTGCGCTGCGCTGGAAGTGGCTTCAGCTGCCATCGCCAAGGTGAGGGGTGGCCTTGGGGGTCCCCTCACTCCTCGAGGGAAGGGGAATGTGCAGACCTGGTGGGGAGGGGGCTGCTGGACCCCACCAGCCACAGCCAGCCCCCGGGGCCTCTTGCAGGAGGAGGAAGGCAGGGATGACAGTGACGCCCTGGAGCTGTACCAGCAGAGCCTGGGGGAGCTGCTGCTGCTCCTGGCCGGTGAGTTGGGACTGAGGCCGGGCGTTTGGGGCAAGGATGGGTCCTGCTCCCGTCCCTCATGCCGTGGCACGTTTCCCCTGCAGCGGAGCCGGCGGGGCGGCGGCGGGAGCTGCTCCACGCGGAGGTGAGTGCCAGCCCTGGGACACGCGGCTGTCCCCGCTGGCCTGGCCCAGAGGGACTGTGTCCTCTCTCTCCCCACCAGATCCAGACCCTGATGGCTCGAGCCGAGTACCTGAAGGATCAGATCAAGGTATGGTGACTGGGGGGGCTCCGGAGCGTGCTGGGGGAGGATGAAGGCTGGAAAAGGCCCCTCTCCCTTGGCAGATGCGGGAGGCACAATCCATGGGCAAAGAGGCGCTGGCAGAGTCCGTCCGGAGCGGTGAGTCGCCTTTGCCCCGGGGACTGGGGGCAAATATTCCCCCAGCCCGAGGCCGATCCCACCCCCAGCCAGCCCCATCTCCCCCAGCACGGGCTCGTCCCCCCCGGGAGCCCGCCCGGGGGTGGCAGCGCGGGGACAGCGCGGTGAGTGGCTGTGTGCCCCGGCACAGCCTGTACCTTGCAGTGACTCCCGGGAGCTGCCCCGCGGGACGCTGCTCGCTGCCCTGCCAGGACACACCGGCACCAAGGCGAGCCTTTGGCTTCCGTCCTCCCCACCGGGGTGACACCTGGGGGTCACCCTCGGGCTCGCAGCCCCGGGGGCTCGGCGGGACCATCTGCCCCTCTCCCAGGCGCTGGCTCATTTCCCTGCCAGCCCTGCCTCGACCGTCTGCTGCTGCAGCCTCCCGTGCCACAGCGGGCAGGTTATTCCACTCTAATTCCCTCCGCTGGCTCCACGGGAAGGGTATTTTTATCCTGGCACTAGGCTCTGGCAGGACATCCCCCCTGCTTTTTTGGCTGGATGGTTCTTCCACCCCCCAAATTCTGGGGGAGCCCACATGGCCCACAAATCCAGCCGGGAGCTGAGGGTGGGCAGGGATGCTCCGCTGTGCCTTCCTCGCCCAGCATCTACCTCTGCATCCACTGCTGCTCGTCCAGCCTCCATCCAGCAGCCACTGCACTGGCCCAGCCCAGCCATACCTCCCTGCCTCTCTCTGCTGGAGCACTGGGAAGGGAATGAGGCTTTTCCTTCCTGAACCTGGAGCCTGACGGGTACTGGCTGCCTCGTCAGTGTCACGACCGTGAGCAGTGCTCAGCAGGGACCGTGCTGTCGGGCACGAGCAGCAGTCAGTCACCTTCAGGGGGACACTCTCAGCATCCTGCCTGCCCTGCTCCACTCCTCAGGGCCCTGGCACCCCCAACATCCAAATCATGTTCCCAGGAGTCATTGTTACGGGGTGCTGATGTTGCCTGTCCTGCGAAACAAGGTACTTGTCTCAAAATCTACTGTATCTCAAGGGAATGTAATTTATTGTCTTTAATAAACTTTAATTTTGATTTCTCCACCTCCTCTGTGCTCAGGTTTGTGATTTAAGCCTAAGAGGGGTCCCCAGGCAAGCCCAGGACCCAGAGGCTGCCTGGGGTCCTGGAGCCATCGAGGTGGGCAGGGGACCCTGGTCCCTGTTCCCCCAGGAGCAGAGCTGGGGTGTCCCCTCCTCTGCTCCAGCAGCGCTCCCTTCCTGTGCTCCCCAGGGACACGAGGCAGCCAAAGCAAGGTTTGACCTTGTTTTCACTTCCCATCTTTCTATTTTTTTGTGTGTGTGGAAAACACGGAGCAGAACAACACGAGCCGTTACGTAAAATCCTGTTTTCTCCAATAGATTTTTGTGGCGGGTGAGGAAGGGCCGGGCTGGGCCATGAGGGAAGGCAGAAGGGCTGAAGTGAATGACAGGAGGATTTTTGGGGTGTCCCATACATATTCTGAGCCATGCCCTCTTCCCAAGACAGCCTCCCCCCACATCCCACCCCAGTGCCGGCTGCTCCGTGCTCAAACCGGCGCGGAGCTTCCCGGGCAGATGCGACAAGGCACTTCCATATCTTTTTACTCTTTATTATTATTACTCAGAGCAGAGATGATATCCTGAGGCTTTAAAGTGCTTTCCCAGCCCGTGTTCTCCCCCAGCCCGTGGCGAGCGCGCGGATAATCGCATCCGCCTTCACGCTCGGCCGCCAGCGCAGCCAGCCCCAGCCCTCGGAGCAGCACGAGGCTCTGGGTGCTCCCCTGGGGCTGCTGGAGTCGGGGTGGGTGTCGGTGTCACCTGCACCGGGGTTTTTGGCTGCCCAGATGTCACCGAGGGAAGGCGTGTCTGAGCGGTGCCGGTGCGCCGGTTATTTCGCTTGTAACGGCTCTCATCGGGATTTTCTCGGGGTTCTCTAGAATTCATCAAGGTTACTAAGAAATGAACTGTGCTAAAATAAAAAAGAAGAAAAGGAACTGAATTCCGAGACCACAAGAAAGAGGTGACAGAGAGCTGTGAGCCACCTGGAGTGTAGCCAATGATGTATTCTGAGAAGTGCATGCAGAACATGTGGACAAACAAAGACACCAATAAGAAATGTGTGATCAGCATGTACAGTAGAGTTAAAATGCATAAATAAATACATAAGATAAACTATAAATGGATTCTACTTAATCCTATTGATTAGTTGTCCAAGAGTCCTGGGTTTCCCACAGGAGGGTGGCACACAGCAGGCGGTGCCTGGCCCGGCAGTGTGGCCTCTGTCACTCAGCTGCTCAGGGAGGAGCTGCTCCGCTCCAGTCCCATCCATGCCACCACCCAGCCCTTCCAAAGGGCTCTCCCAACCCTCACAGGGTGGCTCTTGGGGCCGGGTTGTCACCCGGAGAGGTGGGGAGTGGCAGCTGGGCTGTCACCGTGGCGGTGCCAGCGTGTGGGGTGACGTGAGGTCAGGCACACCGTGGGCTGGGGGGAGCTGGGTCAGTGTGCAGAGCCAGCCTTGGGCTTTCCCAGCGCTCTGTAATCTGGATTAATCCTGGTTGTTGGACCAGCAGTGGGTGGATGGATGGGCCATCCCTTCCCACAGCCACTCTCAGGGAAGTTTAATTGCCTGCAAAAAGGAGAAGGGAGATTCCCCAGCCTTCAGTGGCAGCTCATTTGTTTCAGCACTTTAACAATTGCTCATTTAATGCTTTATCCTTTGGGAAATCACTCACTTGTCCCACACTCACCACTGGGAAGGAGGAAGATCCTGCAGCTGGTTGAGGAATGGGCTGGTGCAGGAGGGCAGGAGTTTTGTCAATAAAATTTATGTTATTTGATCAATAAAAGTTATTTTATTTTATTGACAAAGTTCCTTACTGCCAGCATCTTCCAGCAACCAGCAAGAGCTTGCTTGGACAAACCCATCCCAATCCCAACCCCATAGGTGAGGAAATTATATAAAACCTGTAAAAGAGAGAGAAAAAAAGACATTTTCTGCTTTAATCCACACTTATTCTTTGCTTTAAGATTTTTTGTATGTGTGTTGATGCCTGGAGCAGTTGTATGGCATGGAGGCTGCAGGGATGCTCGGGATATGGCAGCAGGAACTGCTGGAAGCTGGGATGCATCCCTTGGTGGGCAGGGAAAAGGCAGGAGGGGCTGCCTGCCCCTGCTGCCCCTATCCCAGCCTCTCCTGCCTCCATCCCAGCCTCTCCTCCCTCCGTTTCCCAGCACGCTCTCCTGTGTTTTCCTGGATGATCCATCCTTCCTTGCAAAACCAAACTGCAGCTAATCAGCTCCCACGGGATTTGGAGCGATAAATTCCCTGCCCATGCCAAGTTTTTCCAGGAAGCCTCGCCACAGGAGCCCCCTGCCTGCCGGGATGCCGCCAGGGCTGGGAGTCACACCTGCACAAGCTCAGGCTCATCCCTGCAGAGTGTCCTTGCTTGGAGCAGTGCACTGGGCATCCTGCAGTGCCCCTGAGACTGAGTGTTCTGAAGGTTTGGTATTAAAATAGCAAAAAAACATGCAGAAAAATGGGAATTTTGTTTGCTTTAAACCTGACTACTGCCAACGAGCTGCTTGTAGCATCCCTTTGGTCCCAAAGGTGAGCACAACTAGGAGAGACAGGCATTTTCTTTGGGATTCTGCTGCCAGGAAAATAGGAAATTTTTTTCCCCAAAACCAGGAAAATAGAAAAATTCGCCCAGGAAAACAGAGCTCGAGGAGAAAAGAAAATGCATAGACATCTCCTGGTATTTATTCCACCGGTTATAACAGTACCATGGCACGGGGACAGCACAGGAGGTGAGGGACACTCAACCGAGCACGGCACGACTACAGCACGACGAGTGGGAGGACGGGGAGGCGTTCCCTCATGGCTTTGTTCTTCTCCTGGAAGGAACAAGGACAGCATCCCATCCCAGGAGAGGGACGCCACTGCTCCGGGGAAGGGCTGCTGCGGGCTCAGCTCAGCACCAGGGAGGGCTTTTGTTCCTCTCTGGTGTCAGTTCAGGCTTCAGCACCCCCCTTCCCACAGGGATCGGATAGCAGGTCCTTCCCGGCTGCCTCCTTCAGAGGGGCCCTCAAGGGCACGGGGCTTGGTGTTCCTGGCAGGGATGGGATGGAGTTTCTCGGGTGATGGGGACGGGACGCGGGGAGGGGCGTGTTCCACACCCTGCCTCGTCCTTGCGAGGCAAATCGGAGCCTCCCGGTCATTTCCAGGAGGCTGAGTGGAAGCGTGGAGGCAGAGCCGCAGCGTGTGGCCACTGCTCCAAGTCACTCACACTCTGAGGTCACTCACACTCCAAGGTCACTCACACCCCAAGGTCACTCTCCTTCCCTGCAACCTCCCCGGCTGTGGCTGCGGACACCCCTGCCCGGGCACGGGGGGAGGCTTTGGGGTACGGGGGGGACATGCTGGCTCTTGGCTCTAACCTCAGCCCGGAGAACGAAACGAAAGCCACACATCAGGGACATCTGGGTCAGGGACTCGAGGGGTCACGTGGCTCAGGAGGACCCGAGTGACACACGGCAAGGGTGACAAGGTCGCTGGGGTCCCCGCTGCAGGCAGCAGCCCCCGCCAGAGCCTGCGCTGCGTCCCCTCCCTGCTCAGCCCCATCACATCACGGAGCACTTCTCCGCAGATTGCTTCAGGTCCTCTAGCGTGGCCGAGGCTTTGTCCTTCAAGGAATCAAGGTCCAAGTTCTGGATGTTGCTGAGCTGGCCGATCACCGAGTTCTTCTCCTCCTCCTCCTCGTTGTCCTGCTCGATCATCTTGGCCAGCTCCTTGGGCAGCTCCACGTCCCCTCCCACCAGCTGGATCTGGTTGTCATCTGTTTCGTTCTGGAAGGGGCCGGGAGAGAGTCAGGAGCGGGGATGGCACAGCGGGAAGGGGGCTTCTGGAAGCATCGCAGGAGGGGCTTTGGGCTCTCTTCCCACTTAAAGGACCATGTGGGAAGGTCCCTGGGGGTGAGGGTGGGATGTTGATGCAGCCTGAGAAGAGCCTGGGCACCCACGGCGAGAGGCGGGATGGAAACCCACGCGCAGCACCAGCACAGACTGGTTTCCAGCTCGCGTTGCGGGGGGTTAGGCACCTAATTAAGCTAGGCTTATGCTTAACGACTGCTCCCAGCGGCGGGCGGGATCAGCTCCGAGCCGGGAGCCACGGGGAGACTCGGGATGAGGCAGCCCGGCTGCCAAGTGGGATCAGTAATGAGCAGAAGAAACTTGTCAAAAGATGAGAAGGGACATCTCAAGCACAAGAAGGCAGTGAAAGGATGGTGGGGCCAGATCCAAACAAATCCCAGTTTCCCTTGGAGAATAAAAAAATCTCCATCTCTTCTTTTTCTGCCTTTTCTGGCTTTTGGCAGGGGGTAAAACAAATTCTCCAGCTGTTTATTTCCTGGATGTAAATGGGGGTGGGAAGCAGCGGGGGGTGAATCCAGGCTGACTGAACAATGCCAAACAATCAGAGCAATCTCACTTGGCTTAGCTGACCCTTTGGAACTAATATTAGCCCGGCTCCAATTTGGGGTATTCACCACTGAACAACTCTTCCTGAATAAAGGGTGGGTTTGGAGGCAGAGGAGCTTGTGACAATTCCAAGAAAGGCTGAATTACGCCTTGATTAAATTGTTTTCAGTGAATGGTTCATCGTGCGGAAATTCCAAAATCGGAGTTTAGGTGGGAGACGTTCACCAAATAATCCGGGGAGAGGAGCTGAGCTCCAAGGTGCAACCCTGGCTGCACTCCCGGCTCCAGGGAGTCTGGGGTGAAGGTGGTTTTCCCTCACCCAGCTGGATTTAGGGGACAAAAGCGAGGGAGAAGGTGATCAAGCAAGGCTGGGAGTCCCACTGTCTCGAGCTGGTGGGCTGTGGTGCTCGAGGGGAAGGAAAGGGGCCAAAGTTTGGGGAGAAGGACGGTTTTGAGGGGATTTTATTTGCATTTGGGTTTTGAGACTCAAAGCCCAGGCAGCCAAGGAGGTCCTTGTCCCTTCCCCTCACTCCAGAGCTCCATCTGGAGCTTGGCTCCCCTTGTGGCCCGTTCCAGTGCAGCCGTA